GGGGGGTTGTTTGGTCGTCGCGTCGGGGGGTTACCGGGGGGGGGTCGATGGCGATGTCCGGGAGGGCCTCCGCGGCCTTCGCTCGCTCCTGCGCGTCGCGTTTTCGCTGCCGCCGCGCATTCAGCTGGGCTTTTTTCATCTTTCCACTGAAGGGCGGCATCGCTGTTGTTCCTTCTTTATATAGATATATATATCGATATATAAATATATAACGGTCTTCAATAATCAACGATAATTGGTTTAGAAGAAAAAACAAAGCATCGGTGTGGGGATGTTTTGTTTTAAACTGAGGAAGCTAACATACATCAGTTTACTTCCTTGGATCAGTTAGATCGTGAAAACGCATTCAGTAAAGTAGTAGGCATGAAATTGCATCGAGAAAAAAGATCTGACATGAATTTCACCTACGCAGGTTTAACTGGATTCTTTTCTAGAAATTTCCTGCGCCAAATGTGCAGAATAGCAGCAGTTTTTTTATACTATTTAACAAAATATTAATAATGACATCAGAACTAATAAATAGAAATGACATTGATATAATCCCAACATAATCTTAAATAGCAATAATATAGGTAAACCAACAAGACAAAATTGGAAGTATTATAGTCGATTAGAAAAAAAAAAGACCATTTTTAATATATTTCCTCCTTCTTTGTTGTTTTCATATTCACATCCACGCACCCCTGCTCACAATTTATCTTTTGATTGATCAGGCGTATTCTTTTTTTTCGTTCCCCCCCTTCTTTATTTATCGTTATAGAATGAATCGAGATCGATCGATCGGCTTACGGGCTCTGCAGCATTTCCTCCAGCCCGAACAACACCTTCCGAAGTTCGCGGCCGAACATCGTCAACGTCAGGGTGAAGGTGTGGAGCCCCTCCAAGTCCAGCGCCGTTGTCGGCATCACAAAACTATTATCCAACTGAATAAAGTTCGACTCGGAGCTCCCGCAGGTGGAGTTTGTGGAAAAGTACGTCGAGGACGAGGCCACCGCGTAGGCATCGGTCTTCTCTTTGGTATGTTTGGGGACTTTTTTTCGCTTATCCCCGTTCTGGGGGCGTTCGCCGTAGCGGCGAAGGGACTCGTTTGGTTTGCCGCCTTTGTTCTCCCCGTGAAGGGCTTTGAAGACCATCGTCGCGTTCGGGACTTCCGGCGCGCTCGCGAGGTCGGAGGGGTTGGCGAGATCCGGCGTCCGCGAACGCCGCTCGTTCGTCGCGGTGTTGGAGAAGACAAAAGAATTCAACTCGCCGCCTCCTTGCACGAGGTATTTGCATTCGTTTCGATGGGGTTTGCCGCCCCCCGCCTTGTACTTCGCAAGAATCATCTCCGAGATGACCTTTCGGATCACCTCGAGGAGGTCGTACTCGGTGCGCACGCTCATCTCCAAACACATCGCGCGGAACTGCGAAATGCCTTTCATCAGCTCCGAGCAGAGCACCGGCGAGGGATTTCGCACGTACAAATCGCACACAAAGACAAATCGCTCGAAAAACTCCGTCAAGTCAATCGCCAGGGGGGTTAAATTGTGAAAAACGTGAATCATATCCTCCGTGAAGTAGCCTTTTGCCCGCATGCGCTCCCAACTGCAGGCCATGGTGTAGAGCAACACACACAAACGATAGAGCGCGTTGTGCACATCCAACGTCGCGCGGTTGGGGTAGATTTTCGGAAAGATGCTGAACTCATTCGCCGCGAAATGCATAATCGACCTGGTGGATAACACCAAATGGAGCATCTCAAAGATGGTATCTAAGATATCCACTATTTTGGTATCCTCCTGATCTTTAAAAAACACATGCGGCATAAGAGAGCGGTAAAGGTCGCTTTTTTTGGCGTCTTCGTGGGAGCTAATCAGGTTGAAATCCACGGGAATGATGAAGCTATTCGTCGCAACCTCGTTCGACACTCTGCGAAATTTCGAAATCGACTCCAAAGTCAGCGGTGGTTGGGCAAAGGAAGTCATGGAATGGATTCCGCCGGCTTCGTTGGGTAAGATGTCCACCAAAACGTGATCCAACGGCTCATTGGTGGCGTTTTGGACGTGTATCATGGAATTTTTGAGGGGTTTCTCACTCAGCGGATCCTGATCTTTCATCTTGAGGCGCTTCTCGGTGACATCTTTGTAGGAAGAGGAGGCCTCGTACATTAATCCCATGATTTTCTTGAAGGCCTGGCTGGCGAGCTTGAGGGCTTCGAGTCTTTTTTCGTAAAGCACCTCCCCTGGGCTCATCGGGAAGACCGTGACGCTAATAAGACAATAAATAAAAATCGAAAACGCGTTTTGCTGAATTCGGCTAATCGTATAGTCCGCCCCATCGTACTGCGAGCTCAGAAGCGTCATGGCGGCAAACGCGCAGCTGCCGGAGATGGGGGAGAATTCGATATTCAACCGCATAAAACTCATGGTGAAGACAATCACGCAGATCGAGATAATGCGATGGAGCAGCTCCGTGAAGAGGGTCACGAGAAAAAAGCCGATGACGGAGCCGATGAGAATTCCGGTCAAGCGGGCCCCGCTCGCGTGCACCGTCTCCACCGGGTTCATCCCAGACACAAACGCGATAATCGTCGGGCCGGACAACAAAAGCATTTTCGCATTCACGCTGTAGAAAAAAATAACGGAAAGCAGCATCGCCAGGCTCACTTTGACGGCCTCAATAAAAATACGAAACTCCGCGGAGGAGTGGTCGATGAGGAGGTTGCGCACGAGCCGGATATTCCCCCGCAACGCGTCGAACAGGGAGGTGAAGGCCAAGCGAAGGGTCACCCGCCAATTTCGCCCTCCTTTGTGCCGGTTCACAATGTCGTTGAAGTTATCAAGGACGGTCCAAAAATTAACAATGGAGAAGATAAAAAAAGAGAAGTTTGGGAAAAATTCCTCCATGCAATGGGTATCGGAGAAGATTTCCTCTTCGTTTTCGTACAAGGCGGTTTTGTGGGTCCCTTCAAACTCATCCTGCAGGCGTTTGATCGAGATCCCCGTGTTTTCGAAGAAGCTGTGGGCATTCCGCAGCTCCTCGTAGGTCTTCGCGCGGCTGATCTTGCGCAATAACTCCCCCATCGTCTTCTTGACCTCATTAATCAGGCTGGAGAGCTGATTTTTGAACATCGACGAGCGAGCGCAGTTGGTGATGATCTCCGGACGCTCCTGCAGGGAGTTGATCACCCGCTCCAAGGTCCGCAGGTTCATTTTGAGCTTCCAAAGCAACTTCGCCTTCTCCTGCCGAACCTCATACCGCTCGTAGGTGTCAAAAATGAGGATTTCGTAGAAGCTGTGGTCGTTGTGCGTCTCGAGCTCCTCAATAAGGAAGTCGATCGACCGGACCAGGTAGCGAATGCGAACCATAAACATACTCCGCTCGGTGTTATTTTCCGCCCAGAAGCAGGAAAGCATCCCGGCAAAGCAGGTCGCGGTATCCTCAAAGATTCGCTCCACCGTCCGGACGGCATCCCGCGCGGCGAGGATAGGATAGGGCAGCATAATCGTCAAGGTCGAGCACGCCATCCCGGTCGCCCAATTCGCGAGGATGACAAAGGGCTGAAAGATGGATTCATTCCCCCCCAACAACGTCACCAGGGCGACGTTCACGAGCAGCAAACTCACCCGCCGCGTCGTATCCACGTTTAAAAAGGCGAGCAAGAAGATCAACACGACGTAGACCACAAACCACGCCAAGGGGCTTCGATTGAGCTTGACGGCCACGCACAAGAGGGAAAGCGGGAGCCACATCAGCGAGGCCTTGGCGTACTGCAGCATAAACGAGTTCATCTGCCCGACGCTCATGCTGGCGGAGATCAAGACCCCGGACAGGACGTAGGTCAGGGTAAAAAACCCCTGCATGGTGGGAAGAAAGTGCAGCACCAGCGAGGGCAGGAGCACCCCAAGCAGCGAGAGCCGCAGGGCGAACTGCAGGAGCAGCCAAAAGTCGCGCGCGCGGAGGAACGAGAAGCAGGCGGCGAAGGCGGTTTTGCTGTGGGCGCCCAAAGGCTGGTCCATCGGGCTCAGCCCCTCCTCCGCGCTCATCTGGCGCTGGCTCTCCGCGCCGGCGGGCCCGTCCTTGGACAGCGTGAAGGTGCTCGCGTTGTTGGTAGGGGTGCTGCGCTCGCCCTCGGCCCGGCCCTCCGCCGCGAAAGGGTCCGTCAGGAAGAGCCCGGTGGTAGGCCCGGTTGCCGAAGCTGTCCTGCAGCGTCTCCCCCCACGCCGCGATGGCG